TGTAGGCATATGGATAGTATCCTATCACTGACAGCATTGTACTTCAGGACAGATCTTGAAACATCCTTTGTGATGATGAATGCCACACCATTCCTCTTCTCATTGTCATTCCCAGTGCTAAAGGGGCAGGGAGGCTGCACCTTCTGACCTCCTCTAACCCCATGAGAGGAAAACAGAATCACCATCAGTAGCTCAAGGCCTATCCCTGTGAGGCCACACATGCTGCCTCTCTCCAGCCCTTTCAAAAACCCTGACACCAACCGTTCCTCCTGCAGCACCCACCACTTCTCTGCTGGGTTCAATAATTAGCTGCACTGACCACACAGAACTCACAGATTATGGGGTTTATTAGGGAAGCACCAGGTTACAATGCAAGTTCAGAAATGCACTCAGTCTCCTGCAGCTAGCCATCTCACTCAGTAGCAGGTAGTCTCAGTAGCACATTGCTGTCTCAGTAGTGAGTGTCTCTCATGTCTCTCAGGTGCACGTTTCTCTCAGCAGCATATCTTTCTCAGTCAGCAGTCAGAGAGACTTCTTCTGCCTCTAGGAGGGCTCCTTTTGAGCCTGGCAGAGTGGCCACTAACCAGTCCCAACATCAGAATTCTATACACCTGAGAGACAGTGAACTTCCCAGAAAATTGCTTTGTGCTGCTCCCAACAGAAATACCTCAGGTGGAAAACTTTAACAATCAGGAGCTACTCAGTTGCTCACAGCCAATTGCACCATGGAGTTGACAAAGACTTATGGCTAGAAAAGCCACACTACATAATTTAATACACTACACCCAACATAGTAGATATTATGGTTGTCTGATTCAAAATGGCCAAAATCAGTCCATTTCAGCTCACTAATGCCTAGAATATCAATCTTTATACATTCCATTTCATTTTTGACAACTTCCAATTTTCCTAGATTCATACTTCATACAGTCCATGTTCCAATTTGCAGCTGTTTCTCCTCAATTTGAGTTGTGCTACGTCAGCAAATGGAGGTCCCGAAAGCTTTACTTTATCCATATCATTAAGGGTGGTTCTACTCTGATGATGCAGGTCTTTCCCAGTCATATTCTGAGTGCCTTCTGACCTAAGGATCTGGTCTTCCTGCACTGTATCAGACAGTGTTTCAGGGCTATTCATAAAGTTGCCCAGTAATGTATCAGACAGTGTTTCTCTGCCATTCGTAAGGTTTTCCCTGGCCAATTCTTTGAGAAGTGGATGGCCTCTTCCTTGTTCCTAGTCTCTCTCAGTCTGTAAGCTGCATTGAAAC